ACTTGGAGTGAGAGCTGCAACTTATACTTATATCTGAGTTTCTCATGTTTGCTTGTTGTACTTTTGCTTTTGAAGTTGACTGTTCATGAACTCAAAATAACTCCCGGGAAACATCAAAGTGCTCCCACCCCTGCTGGCATGTCTTAAAACATTTTTACAGTTAACTTTTGTTCATCTTTGCTATATTTCATTTTTATATTGTTTATTTTTTTATCCACACAGAGGTCTGTTGTCGCAACATAAAGATGGTGTGGACAGCTATGTCTCCCTCATGCTGCTGCCAGATAAAAGCAAGGCCACTAAGAAAAAAACAGGAGTGAAGAAGAGAGACCTCAACCCAGAATTTAATGAAAGGTTGCACTACCTTTTTTCTCCTTTGTAGGTTTTGTTATCCCTAAAGATCTGACCTAGTGTTTTAATAATCTTTTTGTACTTTCTTAAAGGTTTGAGTATGATCTGCCTAAGGACGAGATAAGATTCAGACGCCTCAGTGTATCAGTGAAAAATAACTCCTCTTCATTCAGAAGCCGAGACGTCATTGGACAGGTCAGACTGAAATCATATTTGTGGCTCTTCCTGCATCTGTTACATGGCTTTAAATATACTGCCAAACAGCACACTGAGATTCGGTTGGGTAAAATGTACTCCAATCTCCTCACTGTGCCTTAGCTGGTAGCGTAAATTGCATTGATTCCATAAATGTGTTTTATCTTTTCACTCTGAAATGCTGTGAATACAGGCAGAAACTGTGTTCATGCAGATGCTGACATGACATTCCCATTCTTTAGGTGCAGCTCGAGTTGGCTGAGGTGAACCTCGTGTCTGGTGTCACAGAATGGTGAGCAGAAGAGATCTGGTTTCATCCAGACTGTATTTACATTTATTCAAATGCTCAAGCTTGATGGTCATTATTTCTGACCATTTTTATTGACCATCAGGAACTCTTACTATCATTCAATGACTGTTCCACCTCATCTTCCAGGTTCACTCTCAAGGATGAAGCTGAATAGAAATCGCTGCTTGCTGATGCCGTAGTACAGCGATGAAAACGTCATCATTCAAATCCTGCTGCTGCTAATCACACCGATGCCTTCTCCTCTGTACTTCTGCACACAGTGCCAGCATGGCAGCCTTACCTGTATCCACCCAGCTCACTGTGTTATAGCATCTAGTATAGAAGTGCACAGCTCTCGTATTCACATACAACCACATACATACAAGTCACCAAAGATAAGTAGAAAGAAGCAGCTAAGTTAAAAAAAAGGTGTAAGTAAGTTATGATTGAAAATTATATGAAGAAATTGAATTTAAAGACTGAACAGAGAAAGTGATGGATGAAGTGACCTGAAGGTGTCATGTTACATTTTATTGCTTTGTTTGCTCCTTGTTGCTGTGAGAGTGTTTTAAATCTTGTTTGAAGTGCAGCAACATTATAGCTTTTAGTTGATTTTCATGTATCACTCATGAATTTTAATGCCATTTCAGTATTTTAATCTTGTTTTATTTACCAGCTTTTTTATATTTCACATTGCCACGCAGCTTTTGAGAGTGCCTTTGGAAATAGTTTTTGTATGGTTATTTTTTTACAGCTAAGGATGTGTTACACATATTTCCCCAGTTATGGTTTAATTTGTGTATATTTGCAAAGGTCGTTGATCAGGTGGGAAAATGTTATTGAAAAGATGGCAACAAAAATAAACAGATTTTGCACAGCTCACATTTCTGCAGAACAAAAGACTGTTTCTGTATAAATTTGTTACCTTTTGTACTTTGCTCTTGTTATGTTTTAATTGCTTTCTTGCTTGCTTATTTACTACGGGTGTACTGTACATGAAAAGCTCGGACTCTTCTGAGTCTAAAAAGGAAATGTTTTTGCAAACTTGAGTTCAGAATATAAAGAATGAAAGGATGTATGTAAAGCTAGAAAAAACAAATTCTCAATTCATATAAAAAACAGTGTCAAAACTATGTACAGCAAGTAGGAACAAATAGAATCATGAATTTTATTAATTCAATTTTGTAACAGTTTTATTTTGTGAATATTTGTGATACAATTTCTACTGAATTTTTGTTATTCTCTTTGATATATAGAAGAGTTATTGTAGGCACAGTCAGTACACTAGTTTTAGGGTGGCCTGGTCAAAGTCAGGACTTAAATCTAATTGAAATACTTTGACATTTTCTTAAACAGGTTGCCCATGCTTGAAAACCCTCCAGTGTTGCTGAATTGTAATAATTTTGAAAAGAATGAGAATGAGCCCCCACAGCAATGTGAAAGACACATTGCCAGTTATTTCAAATGGTTGATGGTAGTTCACAAGTGTGTCACAACCAGTAATTAGGTTTAGGGAGTAATTCATTTTTCATATATGGTCAGGTAGGTTAAAAAAAAACGTAATAAATGAAATCATAATTTAAAAACAGAATTTTTTAAAATTCTCTTTGCCTAATATGAAAATGTGTTTGATGATCTAAAACGTCTTGATGCATGCTCAATCATCCAGGTAAGTAAATCTCCAAAAATCTCCAAAAGTTGATTTGGAGATGATCTAAAACATGTCAGAATGTCAATATGCAAACAAACAAAAACAACAAGTAACCAGGAAGGGAGCATATACTTTTTCACTATACTTTACACCACCTCACACACAGAGAGAGATGCAAGCATTTAACACACCGTATTTCACATCAACTGTAAACTTTATTTGAAATATCTAGCGAATAATAAGTCAAACATAAACAGATAGTTTATTTCCACGGCCATTTTAACTGAGCCAACGGATTTTATTTGTGCAGCAAAAGAAAAAAAACGCACATTAAAAATTTGGTGCGATCACTGTGACGCTGTTGTTGTGGAGGTAGAACGTTTTCGCTTTCGTTTATCAGCAAAAGTCACTTTTTAAAGTAGCCAGCAAAGGTAAGTGGAAGCTTCATATTTACGAGCAATAAATGTGATTCGGTAAGCACAATGTGTATATTTAATGTGTAAATTAAATATAACACTTAAAAAAAATGATATTTGCATTAAGGAAATGAAGTAAAGAGATAATAACGGTTCTCAGTACGCCATTTTGAACAATATCCTACTGAGAAAATGTTTTTTAAAATTCACCAGATAAAGAACTTTTGAATGTTTGAATAAAAAGGTAATTATGTTTCGTGGGCCTAAGCTGTTTGTTTGGTGTGTTTTGAAGGGTCACTATGTCAGCGAACGTCTATGAAGCTGAGCCCATGAAAGTCGTAAGTTGCAGAAACCACGGCTATGAACCAGCCAACCAACACTGCATCAGACTGAAAAATAGCTTTAAAAGGAGCGTTGGCATTAAACATGATCAATACATTTTCACAGTGACTTGCTACAATAGTTAAGAAAAACAGCATTTCGACACATTGATTTTCTTTTATATTTACAAATACTTTTCTCCCTTACAGTTTTATAGTAAACTACTAAGAGTAACAGTCGGTAACATCCAACATATATTGAAACAACTGTATTTAGTCTATCTAGAGTTTTAAGGTGACAACGGGACAATTTTGAAATTATGATAAAAGTAGTTCATCTCACATTATTTATGTATACTATATACATGAAAAATGCACACTAAAACATCTATGTTTACAATGTTAGGACGATCTAAGCTTGTTTAAATAAATTAAAAATGAAAATTAAATTAAATTAAAAAAGTGTTTTATTATGTTTCTATCACAGGATGATGAAGAAGTTCTATTTGTCCTCTCATTGAAGTGGACAAATCTAAAAGAACCACAAAAAGTGAAGAGGCTTGAGACTCGTCTACATAGAACGCTTCAGACTTGGTTCAATAAATGCAAACATAATGTGGACTGTGCAGTGGAAAGGACCTTAAAAGATGGCCGTGTTGTGGTAAAGGCTAAACCAGCTCCAGGTGCAGTATAGTCTTGAATAACTTTAATATCTTTCTTAACTTATTCAATAAACAATTACTGAATTATAACTTATTCAGTAAAAGTATATTTTGACTTAATTCAGTATATTTATATTGGTTTTAGAAAAGAGTTCATTTTTTGTCTTTTAAGCCCTGGCTGATCTTCAGAAACTGAATAACCAAACACTAACTGGGAGGGATGGACAATCAGTCACCATAATATCCATCAGTCTCACACTGCCATCTCCAGAGCTCGATACACAAGTACCAGAGGATGCTTCAATTAACCTTTCTGCATCTCTGCAAGAGTTACAAACGGTATGTACGATGTGATAAAGCATCAATAAATGGAATAGAAATGTTACATGCCATTCCATTAAATGTACTGTACTGTATTGTGATGTACTGTATTTTTAACAGGAACAGGTTCAAAAAAGTGAACAAAGTAATGCCCCTAGAGAAGAGGTGCACTCTTGTTCCGTCCCAGTGGGTCCTTTCTGGTATGTGAGCCACATGTATGAAGAGGAAATAAAACGTATAGAGAAAGAGAATGGAGTTAAAATCATGGCAGATGTGAAGGTGAGATTTGAAGAAGATCAAAAACATGGGAGACCAGACCGTGCTCTCGAGGAGTTTGAAAACCTTGTCCAGAAAAGCTTAGTTGAATCCTGTGGCTCAGTTATTCCCCTCAAGTTCATAGAGTCAGATGAGTGGGGCAACGCCCTGAAAACCATCCAGAAAAAGGAAAGTAAGCTTTTGGTTACTCTGACTTCTGATGTAATGACTGTGCGTGGGCCAGGACAAAGTCAAGATGTTATGAGTAAGTGCTTATATGCAGATGCAATGCAGACAACAAACACACATGGTTCTCTTGCTCAGTTTTATGACCAAGTTCAGGTGGGGAAACAGAGTAGCACAGTTTCTGCAGATGAAGAAATGTACACTTGTTTTGTCCCAGTGGGTCATTTCTGGTATGTGAGCCACATGTACGAAGAGGAAATGAAACGTATAGAGGAAAAGAATGGAGTAAAAATCAGGGCAGATGTGAAGGTGAGATATGAAGAAGACCAAAAACATGGGAGACCAGACGGTGCTCTCGAGGAGTTTGCAAACCTTGTCCAGAAAAGCTTAGCTGAATCCAGTGGCTCAGTTATTCCTTTCAAGTTCATAGAGTCAGATCAGTGGGGCGATGCACTGAAAACCATCCTGGAAAAGAAAAACAAGCTTTTGATTACTCTGACCTCTGAAACAATGACTGTACGTGGGCCAGGACAAAGTCAAGAGGCCATCAAAAAGTTCTTAAATGCAGATACACATCGGAAAAGAAACACAGATGCTTCTCATCAAGAGTATGAAAGAGAGACTCAAGAATCACTGAAGATTGACATGACCATCAAAGATGATTTCCCGCATGCAGGACTGATCATTGAGAAGACATTTTGGAAGTTAATGACTAACTCTTATAACAAGCAAATAGAAAAGATCAAAGCTAAGTTTAACGTAGCATTCAAAGATTCAGACATTGGTCAAGGCAAAGTTAATGTCACAGCTTTCTACAAGAAAGAAGGAAATGCCTCAATGGAGAGCCACGCCCTCAGAGCACTTCTCTGTCTACACCAGAGGTTTGTTTCATCCTAATTCCATGGTGCCACTGGGTTCAGTGGCACAATCATGCAGATAAAGAGCAGAAAAGAAACATGAACAGAATGAAAGAGAGACTCAAGACACATCACTGGATATTGACATGACCATCAAAGACCATCTCCCAAATCAAGGATTGATCATGGAAGTTGATGACTACCTCTTATAACAAAGAAATAGAAAATATCAAAGCTAAGTTTAATGTGGAATTTAAAAAATCAGACATTGATCAAGGCAAAGTCAATGTCAAAGCTTTCTACAAAAAAGATGAAGGAAATGCCTCCATGGAGAGCCATGCTGTCAGAGAGCTTCTTTATTTACATCAGAAAACTGCCACATCTCCCATGAACAGTTCAATACTGCTACTGAAATGAGTTTGTCATGGACATGACAGTAATCTCAGTTTAGTGCTAATATTTTGTGTTATTTGCATGCTTACAATGGGGTTGTTATATTTCACAACGTTACCATGTATCTTTGTTTCGTGCCTTGTGAAGCCTTATAAAAAGTTGGAGATCAGCGAAACAATTTTGCCTTAAACAAAAAGTAAACAAGCTTTGCATGTTGGTGTTTGTGTGAAATGGCTTTACTTTTATTTTGTGTCTCTTCCTACTTTGTAACACAGCTATTCATACTGCATAAATGTTCAATTTAGGATTACTGTAATGGAAATGTGAAATACTGTATATTAAAGGATCTTTCCCACTGCATGTTGAATCTACATGAAAAGATTTCATTTATTTGTAACTGCAAAGAATGGAGGAGCATTTTTAGGACGGAACCACAATATATCACTTTTTTTAAGTGGTGGCAGAAATGCTTTTTTTTATAAAAGTACAAACACAACACCAGAAAATCTCTGTAGCAAGTGAAACATGAGTAGAATTGGTAACATATTATCAGAAAATGTTTTTGATTTACACTAAAGAAAATGTCAAACAGAAAATTTCTGTGGATTGTAAATGATACATTTTACCTGTTGCATGAGTTATAGCCTGCAGTAAATTATTTTATTTACAGCATCCTGCTGTATAGCTGGTATATCCTATATCAACTAAATGAAACAAGTCAGTGCTGTACATGTGTCAGAATCATATGAGACAGTAGATATTTATCAGAAGTGAGCTTACACAAACTGCAAACCATGAGATATCAAGCCAGAAAAAACTTGTCCTATAAAAGACATCTTCTGCCCTTTTTCTGGAAATGAAGGGAGGTTTAGTATCCACAGTCATTTTAACTGAGCAAACGGACCTTTAGTCAACAACAGAGGACACTCTGTCCCAAATAAATGACAGAGGCGAACTTGCGTGTTGGGGCGTGACTGTGGCGCTGCAAGCTTTCACTTTCGTTTATAAGGAAAAAACAGTTTAAAGTAGCGAGGCAGGGGTAAGTCTAATAAGCAGTAAAGTCATATTTTCAAGATACATTTCTGTTTAGATGATACATAAAACGTGTGATATAACGTTGTGGTTGTTACAGGTTTGGTTAAAATGTAAGACATTAGAAAACTGGAAAGTGAAGTGCAACCAGGAGTGTAGCTCTGCAGGTTAGGTGGAGAACGACGTTAGCTAATTTATGGGAATAGTTTTATATAAAATCACCAAATACAGAATTGTTGGTTGTCTGAGTGCAACACACTGTGTCATGTCGTATGTGTTTGATGTGTTTTGAAGGAAGACGATCAAAATCTTGAACATGGCTAGTGCAGAGCCCATGGAGGTCGACAGACCTGACGACATGAGCCAAGTATGTAAACTAACACCGAATCAGAATAAAATAATATAGTTTCAGGAACTTTGGTGTTAATGCAGTCATTAAATATCCACAGTGCTTATTTTCAGTAGGAGCCTTACATATTTTAAAGTGCACTTTTGAGGCCACGGTTTGCTTTTATACTTAAAAAGATTTTTTATTTTAGTGAGTTTGTGTGCTTATACTTAATGTCCTCCATTTTTTCCGTATTCTTGTAAAAAGTATATGAAAGTGAAACTACTGAGATTACAAGGTCAGCATAATATTAGTTTATTGGCGGTGTCCAAAAGTTGGTTCTGTTCATCTGGACATAGCGTTTTGTGGGAGAAACGTTTTGTCACTCATCCAAGTGACTTCTTCAGTCTCAGCTGACTGCAGGTTTCTCCAATCTTATAAACAGTACATTTGCATAATGACTGAAACCAGCTCACTGAAGGAACAATGGGCTGGGAGGTGTGTTCCTTAATCTTAATTATACAAATTCTCATGATCATTGATCAACAACCACTGACCAAAACCCATTGATCAAAGACCACTGATCAATGGCCATGAGAATTAGCATAAGATGAAATATAAACCATCAGCATTGTATTGTAAGAGTTGTGAGATTGAGGAACTTAACAATGTGTAAAGCTGTTCAGCGTTACTTTGATCATCAGTAAGAACATTGTAAAGTTCTAAGGCTGCAAGGCGACATCAGTGTGACAAATGTGAAAATATGACACGTAGCTAAGCTCACACTATTCATTATAATACTAAAGAAAATAATTCTAAAAAGATATATCTCAACAATGCTAAACTATACTTATTTAAATTAATGATTTTCAGCATAATGTCACAGGCTTACATGTTTTTAGTGTTTTATTATTATTTCTTTTATCACAGGTTGAAGATGGAGCTCTCATTGTTCTCTCACTGAAGTGGATAAAGTCTGATGATGAACCACAAAAAACAAAGAAGCCTGAGACTAGTCTACAGAAAATGCTTCAGACCTGGTTCAACAAATGTATACCTAATGTGG